TCCGCCTTGTGTGCCTTTCCCTGTCTTCTTTTTTTTTTTTAATTATTTTTTTTAATTTTATTCATTCATTTATTTTAATTTGACAAGAGAGAGAGAAAGTGAGAAAGCAAGCCACCAGATCCGGGACTTGAACCGTGGTTGACCATGTGGGAGTGTTCAGCACCTTCACCACCATGCCATGTGCTGGTCCCCCAACCCTACAGGTTTTTAACTAGATCTGGCTGTAGCTACCTTTCCAGATCTTCAAGCTGCTAAGGCATCTCAGTGCATCCACCCTGCATCACCAGCAAAGGTCAAAAACCATGGTGGCCAGAGGAAAGAAAAGAGAAAAACCAGAGGAGGCATGAGAGAGAACAGGGTACTGGGGATGGCCTACCATGGTTCCCGCCTACTCGACCGCATTGTATTCAACTAAATGATACATCGTGTTTCAGGTCAGCTAACATGGAGGATATATTTATTATATCTTCACATGGGTGGGAATTAACAGCTTTCCACACATTCTTCACAAACTTGAATTTGAGGCCATTAGTTCGGACTACGGGAGTCAGTTTGAATTTCTGACATCTGAACTAGGAGGATAGGCTATTTGATTGCTGAAAGGAGGACAAGCGCTACGTCTGAAACCTCAGATTTGGGAAGGAACCTTCTAACGCTTTCTCCCTCCTTTAGGCCTGTGATCTTGGACCCGGCGGAACCTACGAGCGACCTGGGTGGAGGGGACCGCTGGTGCTGGCATTTGCTGGCAAGGGAGGCGAAGAAATGGTTGTCCTCTCTCTGCTTCAACGCTGGAGTTGGGTACTCAGTAGAGCCATGGAAAGTACCAGAAAAAGTGATCTAACGGAGGTTCAGCTACTGTAGCACACACTGAGAAGATACTGCCAGGGGGACCCGGGGTTCAATTCCTGGCCCAACCTACTAAACAGGTCACCACTCCAGGGGGTGCACACCTGTAGTCCCAGCCAGCTGGGGGGCTGGGCAGGAGAACCCCAATATGGCATACCTTGTCAAAAATCTGTCTCTCATAAACAAAGCCTTTAAATAAATATGAATAAATAAATAAATAAGGGGAACCAGCAGTTAGTGTAATGGCTATGTCGCTGGACTCCCACATAGTTGACCGCGGTTCGCATCCCGGACCCGGTGGCTTAAAACTCACGCCGGGCGCGTGTGTGTGTGTGCCCAGGATCCCGAGAGGAGAATGGAGGAGAAGGGATTGTGGCGTGACCACCCCCCCGGGGGGTGATTTCTCGCTTTCTA